GAGCCCTTCGCTCTCAGACTGCAGGTCTACTTTTGGTTCCCAGAGTTTCCAGAAGTAGAACGGGAGGCAGAGCCTTCAGTTATCAGCTCCTCTGTTGTGGAATCAGCTCCCAGTTTGGTTCCTTCCCACCGTTGCCAACTGCTTGCTCAGAGGGAGTCCAAAGGCAACTTTGGATTGTTGGGTTCTCTGTTTAAATTTGTAATGTCTATACTTTACTATGTTAAGTGCTGTGAGATGTTGTAAACTGTGCTACACAAATAAAATTGACTTCACTTGGCTTGAAAATATTATGAATTCTACTAAATATAAATAATAAATAGAAAAGTAATGTCAAATCAACCTAATGTTTTACAAAGGAATGCATAAGTAAAATGCTCACAACTGACAAGATGTTCTATAAACAAAGTAACCCAAAGTGTCATATCATATATTGACAGCAAAATTAAATTAAAACTCCTGGTAATCAGATTTTGAGTTTAATTGTAAACATGTACTGGCTCCAACCTATGAAGGTATATTTTAAACACTGAAAAATGCTTTTCCCTACATCTGTTGTTTCATCAGTCATTACATCGAGGTTCCTTCTTAGTTCCTGGCTGTAAATGTTCTCTTATTTCTAAGCAACAGAATAAAACTTCTGAATTCAGGGAAATCCTTTTGAAGGATTTTGTAGGCAAATCTGTGAGCAGATAAATAGCAGGAGCTGTTGTCACCACGATACATCCACATCAGAATGAATAATGTAACAAATGTAAGCACATAATAAAGCAGACCTGGCCACATCAATTATTTAAAGAGCCAACAAGATGCACTGGTGTCATCGGTGTACTCTTAAAGACCTCACCGGGAGGAGGTTAGGTTTTCAACATTGAGTTAAGAAAAACTACATGAATGTCGCCATTGCACCTACAAGCCAGGTGGAAAAATACTTTCAATCGCACCTCTGATTTTTGAAGCAACGGGTAAACATAAGTAACCTTTTAGGTACTAAGACATCATTACTGTTCATACTCTGGAACAGAAGACATGACAGGATAAGATAAGATACTGCATGATTTGACATAACCGGACACTGGAGAAACAAGATGTGACAAGAAACAAACAAAAAAAAAAGATCAAGAGAGGTGGTGAAAAAACACGGCATCCCATAAATAGACATTGTATGATCTGGTCCTGCCGTTACCAGTGGTAGACTCATTTTATTTTTTAAATTTCAGATACCTAAGTATATGTGTATGTATGGAAGCATTTGATGCTTTTGAAATAAAAATGAATCAGCATCAAAGTCTTCTGGATAGGCAGAGGCTGCACAAGCTATTCAGTCATGCATGCTGGCTTTGCCTGTGTGGGAGGCAGTGACGTAGAAATTTCCATCACAGCTCCTCCTTTGCATAGTGTCCTCATTTTGTTGATGTCAGTATTTCTAGCACAGCCTTAGATGTGATTGACATTCCCACTCACCTGATCACCTGTTTCCCATTCATAAGTCAGCCTCTCATCATTTAACTCCCATAATTTCCTTTGCAATTTTACATCGTTTTGTATTTTGATATTCAAGTAAATTGTGATATTTTCTATCCGAATCTCTGAGTTGTGCTTATGTGTCCCCTCCTGTTGTGAGACACGCTATCTCAGATATTAAATTTTAAACTGAATCTGAAACCGAAGCAGCTTACCTCCACAGGTGGTATTGGTTCCTGTGGTCCACTAGGCCTTCAGAGCTAAAAGTCCTGGCCAGGTTGGACGCCAGCAGGCGATTTTCTCTGTCAATGGCTGACAGACGTTCATCCTGCAGCTGAACCACAGAAACGAAGACTTCAAACACAAACTGGGGACATTTTTATACAATCGCTATCAGAGAAACGTTAGATGAGCGATAGACTGGGATGTGCTGATCTCTCTGCCACATGTAACATCTACAATACTGACCTGGTTACACTGCAATTAAAAAGAGAAAATGTAAACATGGGAAGGCTTCAGTCTGACTGGAATTGAATGAAATACATTAAACTCACACTGATTAGTTTAACCCCTTGCATTGCAAAAAATTTTGATGGATGGTGATTGCAGATGCATCATCTTGTAAAGTTTAAAAATGGTAGAAAATTGTATTGTGCGTGTGTGTGTGTGTGTGTGTGTGTGTGTGTGTCCACTGACCTGAAGTTTTTTGAGTTTTAGCTGGATGTGAACTGGTGTCCTGATGCCCATAGTGTCCACTACAGGCAGGGCAGAGTTCACCTGGACACATAAACTCAGGTAAGTACAATGTGGATGTGGCCTGTTTTAAAGGATAACCTGTGTAGAGTTTTTTTTTCCTGGGTTTTGTGTGGCTGTATTTGTGAGAGCATGTCCTCCTTATATGCTCCATTAATTCCGCCCCACCACATTTCAGATATTGTACTTTCTACTCAAGTAGCTACAGCTGACTTTTATTATGAAAGTTTTCCACAGTTGATAATATAACAAGTTTGTGAGTCAGTAAGTCCGTACATGAAAAAAAACCTAACATTTTCTAAAACTAATGGTCCCACATCCCTGGTATCCTGGGTGAAAGTCCTTGTCAGACTCATGCCTCTATGTTCTTTGACAGTGGAAACATTTCCTGCTTTGTCTAATTATTCACCTTGTTTCAAAACACACAAACAAAAAAAGAAATTAAGAATGAAGTTTACTTGTATTACATGCCAAGTTTTTGGAGACAGTTTAACAAAAGCTCAAAAAGGCTCAGATAAAGTGATTCTTTGTTTTGTGGAAATTTGACCACTGACTTGTGCAACTACAAACCTCATGTCCTGGGTGGGAAAAGGCAGATTCTTCATACATGAGATTTGTCTCCTAGCTTTCTGTCTCAGTGTTATAAAATCAGATAGGCTACTGCTTTTACAGTTAACATGGCTCCTTTTGTTTTAAAGTGAAAGCAACAGTATTAAGTAAATAAATAAATAAAATATCTGTATGTGGATTCGAAATGAAAGCAACCCTACCAAATCATGAAATGTTCAGGTATTGACAGTTTTATAATGTGTTGCTAAGGATTAGTATGTTGTACTGGTGTAACACTTCAAACCACATCACTATCTCTCCCTTTCCAATCTATAAATCTTATATTATACATATTTAAAACAAAAAAAAAAATCCAACATCCACAAATCAATACTCTTTCACCACTAATCCACCTGCATTTTACCAATATCAAGCCCGTTAACCCTGCACTGTACTGCTCCTTTATTTCTAACACACATCTTCAGCTATAGCCCCAGTAATGCTTTGTCTTCAAACATCTCCTCTCTCATCAGCCCTCCACTTTCTCAGTCCTCGAACAAATCTCACTCACCATCGTATAAGCCTGTGCTGGACTACTGCTGCTTTAGTCAGCAATCCTCTACGGTTCTCTCTTCATTCACCTACCTTGCTGCGGTGATTTTTATAGTTATTCTGGTCCCATCGCTTCTGCAAGTAGCGATTGGTTACGGGTTTAAGTGGCTGGTATGACCTGTGCATGTTGCACCTCTGATGATAACTCACACAGTCACTCATTCACATCTAACTAAGGAGGAGTGTGCTTGTTGTGTGTTTGCACGCCTTGTTAGGTGTCGCTATGGAGATGTACCTCTCTTTGTCTCCTTACAGCCAGATACGTTTCTTATTAATTATTAATGAGCTTATCTTCCTAACTATGCTTAGCAGACATGTGCGCTCACTCATATAACATATTTACATAAGGCTACTGAGTTGTGTGTTTCAGCAACAAGGAAGAGCTCTATCTTCTCAGTTTGGCCCACATTCACACCTACATACATACATACATACAGTTGGAAACCAGAAGTTTACATGCGCTGTGTAAAAAACACACAACCTTTTTTTTTCATGATCTGACATTAAATCAGACTAAACTTTTCCTGTTTCAGCTCAGTAAAGATGAACTAAATTATTTCTATAATGCCAGAATAATGAGAGAGAGAGAATTTTAAATTACTTTCTTCAAAGCCAAGTTTACATACATTTTCTTAGTGTAAGATTCAAGTCACACTTGTAAAAACAGTGATTATTAGCGATGTACAGGTTACATTGGTTCAGTTGTACAGCAGCTATGTTGAGTTCTGTGCTGCGGTGATGCTGTGGTGTGATTGGGGTAGAAGAGTCATGTGACTCGGGGATGGTGAGGAAGGGAATTGGGGGGAGTGTGAAAAAGGAGGAAAAATAAATGCAGTGCTGCTGTTCAAACTATCCAGCTCTGTCCTCCTGTTTTATTAGTACGAGGGTACTCACCGACCCCCAAAATACTTCATATTTATTGTTCCGTTTTATTACTTGCTCTCCATCTGCTGTCCTGTTTTCTCCACCCCCTCATCCCTACTCTCACCCAACCAGTCGAGGCAGAAGGCCGCCTTCCCTGAGCCTGGTTCTGCCGAAGGTTTTTTGTCCCCTCCTTTGGTGGGTTTTTTGTTCCTTCCCACTGTTGCCAACCACTTGCTCAGAGGGAATCCAAAGGCTACTTTGGATTGCTGGGTTCTCTGTTTAAATTTGTAAGGTCTACACCTTACTATGTTAAGCGTTATGTGATGACATATGTTGTAAACTGTGCTATACAAAAAAAATTGACTTGACTTGACTAGATTGTTCCAGACCCTCTGTGGTACCACAGTGGCTCTAGCATCTCCTCTAGTCAGTCAGCTAAGTCTTTCTGCTTCAAATACTTCTGCAATTTCCTACTTACTTGATGTCTCTCCTGTGTGACTCACTTCTGTACCTCTTATCAAGCTCACCTGTGCTCCTACGCTCCATGTCCTCAGCCTTTAGCTTTCCCTTGGTCACTCCTCATCTTTCTCCAACCGTCCCCCTGAGAGGCAGTCAGCCCTCAGCCTTCACTATCCGCTCAGAGACTTTGTATTACAATAAGCAGTGTCGTCTCTGCATTTGGAGCCAGTCGGGCCTGGCCCCACCAGATGTCAAAAAGTTGTTGTAAACTGCGCTATACAAATAAAATTTAATTTAATTGAAATTGAATAGAGTCATCACTCTATCACCACTTCACGTTATAGTAACATTGCCTTTAAATTGTATGGCTTGATTCAAAAATTTTGGGTTTCCTTCCACAAACCTCTCACAATGGTTTGCTGGAATTCCTCCTGACAGAACTGGTGTAACTGAGTCAGGTTTGTTGGATGCTTTGCTCGCACACACGTTTTCAGCTCTGCCCACAAATTTTCTACGGGATTGAGATCAGGGCTTTGTGATGGCCACTCCAAAACATTGACTTTGTTGTCCTGAAGACACTTTGTAACTAATTTGCGGGTATGCTTACTGTCATTGTCCATTTGGAAGAGCCATTGTGCACAAGCAAAATACCCCCCACTGAATGATGCTGCCACCCCCGTACTTCACAGTTAGGATGGTTCACTTGTAGTTTCATCTGACTGCAGGACATGTCTCCAAAAATTAAGGTCTTTGTCCTAGTGTGCATTTTTAAACTGTAATCTGGCTTTTTTTTAATGTTGCTTTTGGAGTAATGTCTTCTTCTTGTCGAAGTAGCCTTTTAGTCCATGTCAGCACAGGACTGGTTTCACTGTGGATCATGACACTCTCTTACCCGCTTCAGTCAGCATCTTCACAGATTCTTTAGCTTTTGTTCTCAGGTTGATACGCACATTTTGCACCAAAACATGTTGATCTCTAGGACACAGAACCATCTCCTTCCTCAGCAGTTTGATGGCTGGACATTCCCATGTTGTTTATACTTGTGTATAGTTGTTTGAACAGATGAACGTGGAACCTTCAGGCATCTGGAAATTGCGCCCAAGGATGAACCAGACTTGTGGAGGTTCACAATTCTCTTCCTGATATCTTGGCAGATTTCTTAAAATTTTCCATGTTGTCACAGTAGGAAGCAGTGTGTTTGAGGTGTGCCTTAAAATACATCCACAGGTGTGCCTCCAATTAACTCAAATGTTGTCAGTTAATAAATCAAAAGCTTCTAAAGCCATGACATCATCACCATCTGGGCTTTTATACAGTCTATGGCGCAGCTCAGTGCGTCCCGGACCCGCCCACTTTTGCTGTAAGCCAATTAATTTTGTCTTTATTTGCGTTTGTCTTCTGTGGTTGGATATCAAAACTGTCCTTCGACGTTCTTATGACTGTGCTATCTGACACCGTCACACGGCCTTTCCCCTCCTCATCTACTGTCCTGACAGCTAAAGACATGGGCCATGCCGTCAGTGGAGAAAAGACTGGTCATAGAAAAGACTGCATGTAGAATACATGCAACTGGGTTTAACCTCAGACAGATCTGACATGAGAACGCCGTAGTTTATTATTTTTAAAGTCATTTTGGTCACCCACCTGTCAGAGCACACCACAGCCACCAAACAGCATCTACCACAGCCTGCTATGTGGTGCGTTCAGGGAGCATCAGTAAATCGTAGCGTCTATCGATAAGAAAATGTTCAGCAAGTCATATGTTTTGCCTTCGACCAGGTGGGAGGTGCAACAAAATGAGAAAGTGGATCTTACTGGTGCTTCCAGTGAAAAAGTCAGCCTGGATCCCTGAATAGTGTTTTTTTTTTCATTCTTTCCGTTGTGTGTTTTGAGTTTGCACAGATCCTTTAAATAGTGATGAATGGTTTTGAAATTTAGTCCTGGTCAGTCTTGATAATGTCTAATGAGATTATGATTAGAACATCCTCCAAAGGTAGACAATTTGCATTCCTGTGAATAGCTGTGCCTGATGTTACTCATATTCGTATTTCTGATTTAAAATTAAAGGTCATTTGCAGACTGCGAAAAAAACGGATAAAGAGCGTCTTTTTCAGTTTTTGTATGTAACGGCCAGGCGAGACCCACACAAATCATAAACTGCTATGAAATAACCTGTACACACATAAATGTTTTTGCTAAATGCATTTCAGTGTCACTTTATTGATGCCGATGTGTTTTGGAGGAGAGGAAACAAGGGGAAAGAGAGCAGGGGGGAGTGACACGCAACAAGCAGAGTGCGACCGGCCAGGATGCTGCTCAGGGAATTGGCGTTCACGTGGTAGGCGTCCTCATCTACTGGGTCACCCGCATTTAAACATCTTATTCACAGTATGTCGTCAAATTCTAAAGTTGTGATTTCTGTCCACTGTAAGCCAACAAACTCACTCCAGGTCCAGTGACTCCCTTGATCCACTTTTCCGGAATTTAGTTATATTGTCCCTAAGATGCCGTTTGTCTGTCTGTTGCTATCTGTGTATCTCTTAACAGGAATATCGAAACTCTGGGAATGTCATGTGGAGTGCCCCGCAATTAGCTATATTTCCAGCCAACCCCTAGAAACTGACTCCAAAATGCTTTTGTTTCCCAGTTTTCTCCAGGAGAGGACTGTGTGATGGCTGCGGTCCAGTGAACTGGGAGCACGTTGACTGGTGCGTCTGTTTCACCCACCAGTTTGGGAGCTTGGTCTTGGATGTTTTTACTGGAATTATCCGAACCTATGGAGTGTATATGAATATTAATCGGACGGGGATTCCAAACGGGGTAAGTGGACGTGTTAATGTGGGCTCTCTTGGTTAAGGATTTGGGGCCACCTTTCAAAACGCGGGATTGCCTGTTAGCTATCCCGGGGGTTAGCTACGCAGGCTAGCTGTTGTCTTTGTCTGGGGAGACCCGGCAGCTAAGCGGCGGGCGTCCATCGTCGGACACGTCCCCGTCTGACCCGCTTGTTTCCCTTTATAGCCTAGCTACAAAATCCACCACCACCTCCACATTAAGTATATTGTACTTCTGTCAGGGTGTTCGTGCTGCTCAGTAGCTTCACATTACCGATTTGCTATTTGTTTTTACCTTCCGCATTCCCTGCTGTTTAGCCTATTTTCAAGCTATTGCAGTATTATAAAAACAATGATGAGTTATTTCTCTTTGTGTCTTTCTCGTTGTCTCTTTGCCCGAATGCCTTACAACCCAAATATGACTGTAGGGATTAATGCTGTATAATATTAAAACAACAAGTAAAATGTAATCACAGTCCGATGATGGGGAGGTTGAAAGCCCCGCATCGGTAATTGTCCATCACACGACAAACGTTAGGTCACCCCTTATAAACACGACCTGTACAACTTCATACACTGGAGCTTTGCATTGGCTACATGTCTTTAATGTTAACTTTAAATGGTAGGGTAGAACGAATAAAATTAGTCATTTATTTTAAAAGTTTCAAAGAAACTAAGGGATACTCGCCATATGAGCAAATCAACCTGCGTCCGATAATGGATCTCATTAGACTTGTAGCGGGCCGTTGTGGGCCTCAGATCAGCTACAGAGATAATATTCAATGCCTGCATACTATTTGTTGATGGACCAGTACGTTGATGCTGTTGTGCGTATTTGATATTGGTATTAGTCAGCTAACGAGGCTGTAAGACGTTATTAATGTGCGCTAATAGACAGTAAAGATCCGCAGTTGACGCGTCAGCCACCGCTAACTAGCCTGCCGAATAATTCAGCTAGCCGTGGCTAAGTTAGAAAGAACCGTGGGGTTGTTTTTCGTGGGACACATTTTCTTTACTTTTGCAAATAACTAACTCCCACATATTCATAGTAGTATTAGATTTGTGTAGTGCCCACATGACCTAACCAGGCAAACGTCCAAAGCTGACTGTCGTTAGTAACGTTAGTTGGACATTTGGCCTGTTATCAGGCTAACCACATGATGTAAATAGCAACAAAACCAGACTTCCAGGTGCAACTTTAAGTTTGACTTGCAGCACTGTTGAAACCAAACTTGCAGTTGTTAGGGTTAGCCACTTGTAATGTGACCAAATGCCATGTTGTTGTGATCACATAACATAAGCAGGGATTGAAGGCCTGTGACATTGGTTAGTAGACAAGCCTACTGGGAAGAAAAGTACTGAACATTGGTCGTTTAAATGCCTTATCGTTGCTCTGTCAAGGTGTGTGAGTCCACTTATTCAATGAAGTCACCTGTATCCACTTTTTGTAAGCAACCTAAAGGAGCTTGTCTGTAAACAAACAAACAAAAAAAACACTTCTTTGCTGTAAATAACCAAGTGATGTATAATGCATAATAATGCAACACAAAACAAAAAAACTACATGTGAACTAATAGCAGCTTATCCAACTGTTTAAAATAGAAGTAGCCTAGTTTATTTCTGTTTTCTTAAACTGTCAAATTGAAACTTTATTATTTAATCTGAGGATTTTCTCTTTACAGACCCTCATATTGACTTTTACTATACTGCATTACCATGCCCTAATGATCAGCTGATGTGGGTCTGTCATTGATGGATACCTTTGTTTATAGAAGTGGTAGCTATTGGCCAATATATAATGCTGATAGGGATGTGCAGAGAAACTATACTCAGAGACCAAGTTGATACCAAAATTCTTATAACATGACAGTACTGATTTTCTGTTGCACTGAAACTACCGTAGCTGTCGCTGATAGCCTACTCAAGATTGTCATTTCTCTAGTGTGGCGATGGTAAATGCAGATGGATGCAACTTGTGGAGAAAAAAAAACAGTTCAATATCTATCTGTATGGAGATATGAAGTGTTTTGAGTTGATGATCAGAGACCAGTTATAGATGACCAAAGTCGTTGTTACTTTAAGTTAACAGGATGTCATCACAGTGTTAACAGTCTGAAATGTTCGTGTTAAAACCCTTTCAGACATGCACTCAGTTCTGTTAATGATGGCCTCATTGGCAACAGCAGTAACTTCTGCTTCTACTAATAAGTTTTAATTATAAATTGTCCCTTACATGGACACAGTATTGATTAAGATCTAACAGCAGGTTACACTGTGTGCTTCTGGTCATCTCTGACAGAGTCACAGTTTATCAGCTGCAGTTAAATATTTTATTCCATCTCCACTGACCTCAGGTTGAGCCCTGAACTTTAAGTTTTGCTGTTCAATAAATCAGAAATAAACTGGGCTGTTAGTTATTCTACATGTTGATCAGTGACTGTTAGCTTAGTCCTAGCCTGTTATTGCATCATTGTGCATCATCCATCACTTGTTGTATTGTCCAGTCTTGTGTGAATGACATATATCACATTCATGCTGTGGTTTCCTCCAGCACGGTGGCGGATATCTCTGCCTGAGGCCATGACGAACATTAACAGAAATGTTGAAATGATTAGATTCACATTAACAGATTGATGAAGCCGGCAATGTTCTATATTACATTTGTGAAACAGGCTTTTATGACCTGTGCCAGCTGTATTTGTTGTAGCAGTGCTGCACACACAACATTCACAAGGCTTTTTCTGCTTGTTTAGGCTTGTTTACACACGACTCTCTACAAGCTGGAGTAGGTTTAGAAGATGGATAGATTTATGGATATTGCGATACAATCTTTTCATTGGCTTATTTACTGATATGATATCAAAATTGGTATTGAAAGCCATATAACTAATTCACTGATAGCAACTGTGGGATTCCTGCCAAATTTCTTGGGTTGTGTGTTTGAGTTGAGAAATAAACCTCAAAGTCGTCAGTAAACTGCATTTTTCTTGATAATCAGTCTGTGATGCACTACAATGTTGTGGTAGACCTTCTTGTTCATGATATCGTCGATTGTCACTGATTTTTCTTTGCCGTTTCCACAAATGGAACCCCATACCGTAATGGAATCTCTACTGTGTTTCACTGTGGATGCAGTGCATCTGGCATCAAAACGTTCTCCAGCTTTTCTGCGGACATAAACACGACAATGTTGGCCATAGAGCTCAAACTCAGACTCCTCTGTCCAGACTACCTTCTTCCAGTCATCAACAGTCCAATGTTTGAGCTCTCTGGCAAATCTGAGGTGTTTCTGGATGTTTGTAGGCCTCAGTAATGGCTTCTTAGCAGCTCTTCTTCCCTTTCAGCCTTGTTCCATCAGTCGTCTCTTATAGTCATTCTGGAGACTTTCTCAGACTCTGATCTAGAAGCATTTATCTCTGACTGAAGATCAGCAGTGGTCTTCCTTCTGTCTCTAGTACTTTAAAAGCTTGAGGTGTCTGACATCTGCTTCAGTGAACTTTGGTTTCCTGCCTCTTCCTTAGCACATTTTGTAAGTACCAGTGTTGGCAGTTGACTCCAAAGCGCACTTGCACTGTGAGAACACTTTATGTTTTTCCCTATTTGTCTCAGAGACCATCCAGCATCACAAAGTGCTTTAATGTGGACTCTTCAATTTTCAGTGAGCTCTTGACATTTTACCATTTTGAATGGGAATAAGGAATCTGAAACTGAATTCACCTTTTTATACCCAAATTTAAGCTGTCTTACTAATATTCAAAACAAACATTTCTGTTCAGGAATGCAAATAAATAACTATGATATGACATCTTTATCAAGAAATAATAATGTGCCTTACTGTTTTTTCATTTTCTTTTGCAGAACTACATTTGAAAAATCCGAAGGTTCAAAAACACTTTATTGTCATTTCAAACACATACCAGCTGTACAGTACACAGTGAAATGAGACGTTTCCCCAGATCCAGAGCCAAGGTGCTACATGCAATAACCACAATGAACATTAACAAGCTCTATGCAGAGCTACATGCGCAGACCTTGGGTTACGGCTGGGACGATGTAAGCATAGGACATATAGTGCAAAGAATGCAGTGTAGTAAAAGATCAAACTATGGGAACATAGTGGTGTAGTACAAACGTGCAATTTGAACAGTGCAGCAATTAGTAATAGCACAGAACAGTAAGTTAACTCAAGACAAAAACAACACAGCGCTAACATATTTAGCATGATGAAGGTAGTGTGTGTGTGTGTGTTTGTGTATTAGTCCAGTCCTTGAATGTTTAGCAGTCTTATGACTTGAGGGATGAAGCTGTTGCACAGTTGGGCCGTGCGGGTCTGCATGCTTCTGAACCTTCAGCCAGACGGAAGGAGTGTAAAGAGTTTGTGTGAAGGGTGTGTGGGGTCCTTCACAATGCTGGTGGCTTCTTGGGTGCAGGGTGTGGTATAAATGTCTTTGATGTAGGGGAGAGACACTCCAGTGATCTTTTCTGCTGTCCTCACTATGCTCTGGAGGATCTTGTGGTCCGAGACAGTGCAGTTTCCAAACCAGGTAGGGATGCAGCTGCTCAGGATGCTCTCAGTAGTCCCTCTGTAGAATATTGTCAGTGTGTGAGGTGGGCTTTCCTCAGCCTCCGCAGGAAGTAGAGTTGTTGCTGGGCGTTCTTTGCTATGGAGCTGGTGTTGAGGGACCAAGTGGGGGACTCGGCCAGGTGGACACCAAGGAATTTGGTGCTCTGGACGATCTCCACAGTGGAGCCATTGATGGTCAGTGTGCATGCTCCCTTTGTCCACTCCTGAAGTTCACAACCATCTCTTTAGTCTTGTCCACATTCAGAGACAGGTTGTTGACTCGGCACCAGTCCGTTAGCTGCTCCACCTCCTCTCTGTAAGCTGACTTGTTGTTCCTGCTGATGAGACCCACCACGGTCATGTTGTCAGCAAACTTTATGATGAAGTTTGAACTGTGCATTGCTGCACAGTTGTGAGTCACCAGA